CAGGCGCAACTTAGTACGCTTGGACCGTTGCAAGCACAAATCAATGCGCTTGCCCTTGACGTCAACCGCCTCAAGGGCTCTCCTCATCACTCTCCCCACCGCTCCCATACCCCATCCCCTACCAGCTCCGAGTCCGACTCCCCACGACTCCAGAGTCGGAGACATCGTGGTTCCCCCTGCTTTACAGGCCAGGCCCAACACTCCCCCGCAGCAGTGGCGAGTGCTGCTGCCGCTCAGACCACCCCGTCTGTTGCGGCACTGGCTCGGAACTGGCGTCACTACCTGCAAAAGGGGGAAAAGTACAGTGTGTCCCACGGGATGGGAGGAGAAGTGGAGGGGGATAAGGAGTAGAGTGATTGGGGTTCTTAGCTCGTTCTGTCATCAACCGGCGGATTGTCTTCGTCTTCACGCCATACCAGCAGCAGTATCAAGCAACAAGGAGATGTCTTTTATCAACAGCAACGGGTTACAAATGATAGGCATCATCCTCAGGGAGCGGCGCCTCGCATCCCCGCGGCGCCTCCTAGCCACGGTGCAGTGCACACCTGCGCCCTCCTCAGTAGTTGGCTTCCCGACATCCCCATCGCGGTTTGCCCCTCTCACTAATTGAGTTGAGGTCTCGCAGGACCCGACAGAGTGTACTCAGCCCTCTGTCGCAGTACCATTTGCGCCTCCGCAGACCACCGTCTCCACTCCTTCCCCGCCGCGACTACCGATGCGTCAAGCCATTCGCTCAGCCCGTTGCAGCGAGCGGCTCGCTACTCGCGAGGACGTTGTGTCCTCTCTTTTGGACTTGAGCATGCTCCAGGCTCGTCAGTAGCGACTCACCCTCCATGTCGTTGCACTGTGTCGCCTTCTCGCCATCCTCTCTGACCCTGATCGCACCCTCCCGATCATTCCAGTACGACTCGAGACCTCCACGAGGGTGTACTCAGCGCTGTGGGATTCCGGTTCTCAGGGCGACTTCATCCACCCATGTGTGGTGAAAGAAGCCCGCTTACCCACGATAGGGTCTCCGACTCCCATCTCCGTTACCCTCGGGGATGACTAGACCCAACTCTTATTCGATCAGACGGTCACCGACCTCCCTTTCTTCCTCACTCTCGAGCCAACTGATCGTCCCCCAGCGTCTCGTCGCCACCGCTCCTCCGCACATTTCGATGTGATGAAGACGGGGTACGACTTCATTCGCGGCACTCCGTGGTCTCGTCGGTTCCGCAGCACCGAGGCCAATTGGGCGACCAATACTCTTGTTCTCAAAACGAAGTGTGGACAATCGTATCGCGTACCTTTCATAGGTACCACCACGACACCACGCCCCGATCCTCCTCCCCCAGAGCCTTCCGTGCCCACACCATCTCCTTCTATCACTGTCACCTCGCCTCGGCAGTTCGCTCACTTCATCTGACAGGACGACGTCACTTTCTTTATGGTGAACGTGACGGATCTCTTACACTATGATCCACCGTGTCCCGACGCCGAGCTCATCCCCTTGGAGCCAGATCCTCCTTCCATCTCTATGGCTCCCATCTCTACTTTCGTCGCTCCGCCGTCCGTCGAGTCCGCCCCGCCGTCGCGCGCTGACGCTGACGCTGAGGAACTCGCACGATATACGGCTGACCTGGAGCCCGCAGTTCGTGAACTCATTCGAGAGTACCACGACGTTTTTCCATCGTCGTTCTCGTACGCCGGCATCCCACCGATGCGCGACGTCGAGCACTCCATTCAGCTTGTGCCTGACTATGGTGTTCACCACCAGGCACCCTACAGACTTTCGATCCCCGAGGCCACTGAACTCAAGTGTCAACTTGAGGAGCTCCTGAGACTGGGTTTCATTAAACCCAGCAACTCCCCATGGGGTGCACCTGTCCTCTTTGTTCGCAAAACCGATAGAACTCTTCGTCAAGAACAGCTACCCCATGCCTCGTTCCGATGAGTTGTTCGACCGCCTAGCAGGCAACCGCTTCGTTACGAAGATTGATCTTCGTAGAGGTTACCATCAGATTCACGTCGCTGCAGCGGACCAGCCGAAGACAGCGTTCCGATTGCGCTTCAGCCACTACGAGTTTACGGTGATGCCTTTCGGCCTTACTAATGCACCCACTACCTTCCAATGGGCGATTAACGACATCTTCAAGGACATCCTGGAGCAGTACGTTCTCGTTTACATCGACGATATCCTCGTCTATAGTCGTACCCTTGAGGAGTACCTAAGACACCTCCGCGACATCCTTGACCGCTTGCGCAGACATGGCTTCTACGCCAAGCTGAGCAAGTGCCGATTTGCACAGCACAAAGTAGATTTCTTAGGACAGTACGTGTCTAACCAGGGTCTCCACATGGACGACGTGAATATCACTGCTATTGCGGAGTGGCCCGTTCCCACATCCGCCAAGCAGCTTCGCAGCTTCCTAGGCCTTACCAGCTACTATAGTAATTTTATCCAGGGCTACGCTAGGTATTCCTACGTCCTTACCTCCACCCTCCTCCAAAAGAACCCACCCTGGGCTTGGACACCCCTCCACGAGGACGTCTTCTGCGCCCTCAAGAAGGCGGTGACATGTGCACCGGTTTTTCACCTACCCGATTTTGATCGCCCTTTTATCCTTACCACCGATGCGTCAGACTTTGTTGTAGGAGCAGTGCTTTCTCAGGCCTTCCCCTCCTCTCCTGATTCCTCTCATCCTTGTATCCCTCGCTTTTCATCACCTACCCCTACCACTGCTTCCCAACTGACGCCTACTCGTCCAGATACTGACGAGCCTTCTATTGACTATTCTCCTCCCATCGTCGAGGACGGCACTGCCGAGTCCCGCTCAGGTCATTGTCCGACAGCCTTCTACTCCCGTCAGCTTCTGCCCGCCGAGATAAACTACACTGCTGATGAACGTGAGGTTCTCGCAATAGTTTATGTCGCTCGGCACTGGCGTCACTACCTGCACGGGGCACCATTCACGGTGCGCACGGACAACTCTGCTGTCCAGGTTTTTCTGACAAAGCCGAAGCTCACTCCTCGACAGGCTCGCTGGTGGCGCGACCTATCCGAGTTTAGTTTCACCACTGAGCACATCAAGGGTGAGACTAATCGGGTCACAGATGCCTTATCCCGACGCCCCAACCACGACCAGGAGCAGATCCAGCTCTCTTCCATCTCGGTCACCACCGTCCACCACTCAGTGATCGACGAGTTTCGCACTCAGTAATGCCACTGCCCCGACTATCGCGACATCCACACGACCCTTCGGCGTGGCAAGACCGTCCTGAACTACTCTCTCGGGGACAACGGTCTTGTGTACTGGCATGGTTTATAGGGCACCTGAGAGCCCCGTATTTGCGTTCCCTCCACTGGACAGCTACGTGTCCGAGCAGTAGCAGAGTTCCATGACCAGGCAGCCGCCGGTCATATGGGCTTCCACAAGACGTTGGCTCGTGTGAGTCGCCTATACGTCTGGCCGAAGCGCAAGGACTTTGTGAAGGACTACGTCGCAGAGTGTCCCAACTGTCAGGAGGTGAACAGTGCGAACCACCTTCCTTATGGTTTGCTCTAGCCCCTTCCCATCCCTGAGGGTCGTTGGCAGTCCATCTCGATGAACTTTATCGGTCCTCTTCATCCTCCGACCCCCCGCTGTCATGATGCTATTCTGGTCGTCGTCGACCGCTTTATGAAGCATGCACGCTTTGTTCCGTGCCGCTATACCATCAGTGCACGTGAGGTCGCCGATATCGTGTTTGACCAAGTCGTGCGTGACCACGACTTTCCTCTGAGCATCATATATGACTGTGACCCGCGCTTTACCAGCCGATTTTGGCGACGGCTCCACAAGGTGTACGGCACCCAGCTCCACTTCTCCTCGTCTTACCATCCTCAAACTGATGGTCAGACCGAGGTCACGAACAGGACTCTCGGAGATATTCTCCGAAAGATCGTTCGTGACGACCAGCAGTGGGATCTCCATCTTGCCCACGCGGAGATAGCCTACAACCACGCCGTTTCGCCAGCCACGGGGATGTCGCCTTACTATTGCGACCTCGGCTACCACTCTCGTGTTCCTGTGGACTTCCTTCGACCATCACAGATGCACCCCGATACGAGTTGTCCCGCGCTGGATGATTGGGTTGCACACATGACGTCGATCATGAAGACCGCACATGAGCACATAGCCGCTTCCCGGACTCGCATGGCAGCACGTGCAAACCGATCGAGGATGGACCATCCATTCAAAGTCGGTGATGATGTGCTTATCGACGCCCGCCACTTACAGCTCAAAGCGGACACGCGTCACAAGTTTCGGCATCACTTCTTTGCCCCATGCGGCATCCTCCAGACCGTCGGTTCTGATACTGCATCTAGCCCGGTCAGCTTTCGTGTGAAGCTGCCCTACTACCTACGCCCGGCTCGTGTGCACGATGTCTACCACGTCTCGTTACTGCGTCCTTATCGCAAACCATCTGAGCGTTTCGCTGAACGGCCATACGAGCGCCCTCCACCCATCATGGTGGATGGTCACGAGGAGTTCCTCGTTTCAGACATCATTGGTCGCCGAGTCACCGACGACAACCCTCCCCACGTCGAGTATCTTGTATGTTGGAAGGGTTACCCTGATGAGGAGGCTACCTGGGAGGCCCTCGAGCACTTGCAGCACGCTCGCATGTTGGTGTGTGCCTATGACCGTGCTCGTCGTGCTGGGTTCACTGCTCCTCCTCAGCCCACTGACCCTCCTCCCCCGGCTGAGGAGATCGATGAAGTTGAGCCTGCTCCATCTGAGGCAGACCTTCAGCAGCAGCCGGATGCTTCTGAGCGTCCACAGCGCACTCGTCGTCATCCTGCTCGATACGACGATTGACTCTGACTTACCTTCCCACGTCGTTGACTTCTCAATACCCCATCCACTCCAGTTTTGCTACTTCAGCTCGTCGACATTGCTGCTCTTCCTCGACGGCACTCCGGACTTCTCATCGCGGACGTCATCGGCAGTTTCATGGACTTCGTTACGATCAGCTCTGACTACTTCAGACGTCATCACTCTCTTACCACTTTCCCATGTACAGTACCCTTGTTGTGTCGCATGAAGGTCTCCCTTTAGCCGGGTTCCTCTGAGTTGGGCTCTCTCTTGGTATACGCATAGGCATCGGGACCGTAGCGTTGCCCTGGCTTCCCATCTTACGGATCTAGCTCCAACTTCCCTCACTTTAATAGTCATTTGCATGATTCCCTTACCCATCACCCATCTACCCTCTGTCGGCCCTCACGCCCTAGTTAGGCAGCCCCGCATGCTTCATCTAGGTGCACCCAGTATACCAGGCTCCCTTGTTCCCTTGCATGGTCGACCCTCCATAGCGGTCACTCTTTAGTCGAGCATTACCCGCCCTGATGGTCTATCGGTTAGGGTCATTGGTTCTGTTCGCTCCCAGTTCCCTACCCTCATTGAGCCTGATGACATGTGTCTCCCTGTCACTATGTGTGGATGCCCTTAGGAGTTTTCGACCCCTAGGCTGCATTCGCCACCCTCAGAGACCATCCCACCCCTTGCTTTGCGACACACTTCTCCTGTGACATATGGTTGGCTTGTTGTTGCTTGTTGCTCTCAGACTGAGGCTACTGCCTCTGACATTTCTAGGATTTAGTTGTTCTGCTTTTACTGTTCTTAGGACTTATACACTAGTCAGTTATTTCCAGACTGAGGCGACTGCCTCCAACATTCTAGGACCTAGTTGTCATTACTTTTTGTTTTCCTAGGACATGTATGTTAGTTAGTTGTTTTTGCTTTCACTTAGGCTGTTAGTTGTAACATTGCCGTTTTGTGACATTTTCTATAATAGGTTGCATCGCATGGACTCAGCATGGAGCTTGCTCCGCATCCTAGACTACTCAGGTTTTCTTTTTCTTTGGTAGAGTTCCGCTTCTTGGCGGAAGCGTGCTTGTATCTAGGCAATCCATCACAGGCCGAGAATCGTGTAGCGGACCTCTAGTTGGCCTGTGAGACCAGCCCCTTGGCCTGTTCTCACAGGCCTGTGTTCTATTCGGGGCAGTCCAGTCCAGGCCGGTACCTCTGTCGGTACCAGCCAGCCCAGTCCWGTCCCGTCAGTCCGCTGGRGTATACCCCARCCGTTGTCTRTTTTCGAAATCATTCTACACTTGCATGATTTTGGAGTACGTGCGTTGGAGTCTTGCGTGGGAGCTGCGCTGTGCCATCTCGCTCCTCCCTCATCCTCCATCTCTATCTGTATCCCAGGCGGAGCACCTTCCCGGTGGGTCCGCTACATCGGCAGCCCTCGAAGACCGATGCTGGAGCAACGCTGGCCGGAGCCGGAGCTAGGTGGCGCAACTCTGTGACCTAGCTTAGTGGGGGCGTGAGGCCTGGTAGAGAGCTCTAGGGGGCTGCGTGGGGCAGTCTCAGTGGTCATCGGGGGTCGTAACTGGAGCAATGCTGGCCGATGCTGGAGCAAGGTGGTGCAACTCTATAACCTAACTTTATGAAAGCATGAGGCCTGGAAGAGCTTCGGTTTGTGCTGAAAACAGCCATACTGGTGGTGGTCGTCGGTGAATTGAATAGGTTTCACCTATCTATTTTGTCAGTGGTTCTTATTAATGTCTTAGGACTCTAGGGAATCTTAGCAACCCATCATAGGCGGTTTTGAAGTGGTTATACTCAGTGATTTGTGGTTGTTCGATGCCAGAACGACGCTGACCGGTGCTGGGGTGATTCCCTGTAACCTGCTGATGCAGGAGCGTGAGGCCTGGTAGAGAGAACTGGGGATGTTTTGGAAGGGCATCCTAAGGGACAGCCAAGGTTTGTTGTTGGGACGACGCTGGTCGGAGTTGGGGCGAGTTGTGTTGCCCTGTAACCCAGCAGGGTGGGGGCATGAGGCTTGGAAGAGCTCAGCAGGGAGTAAGACTTTGTTGGAAAGTCTTGGAAGGGTTTGTTAGGGATCTTGAGGGCTGTGAGCTTTCGTAGGACCTCAGTGGCAGCCTATTGCATGTGTAGTTCCTTATAAGGTCATTAGATATTCACGGACTGATCTCAGCCGAAGCCGGGTAATACCCCGGTATCTCAAATGATCTCAATGTTCTTAATGATCTGTACAATTCGATATGGGACGTTGGGCCCGCTTCCCAGCACGTGCTGCTCCCCACGAATAGACCGGAGCATTTGTTTATTAAAAAAAAAAAAAAAAAAAAAAAAGTCTTGGGGTGTCCCCCTGTCTGTATTGCTGCGGGGAGGGGATTGTCGAGTATTCATTAGTTAGTCCTTGGAAAGGGTGGAATAGCCTGTCTGTTGTGGATTCTGGGGCCAGATTGACTATTTGCAGGTCGGTTAAGGGATCCCATGGTATGGCATTACCTATCAGAAGTCTGATGAGGATTTTAAAGATCAAGGTCTCGCTTTCCCTTTCGGGATCTAATATCCCTAGTCCCCCTTTGGTTCTTGGTTGTGTGGACTCCCACCTCACTCGATTCACACAACATTGATCTTTGGCGCTATTCTTCCGCAAATATTTTGTGAGTGTTTTTCTCCGCCTAGTGTTATGACGCTTCTTTAGTGGCCACACTACTAATTTATACCATATTGACGCCAAGATAGCATTATTAATTGCCAAGGCACGCCCCACGAGAGAGGTATGTAGCCCCTCCCATTTTGTCAGTCTGTGGATGGCTGTGGATACTAGCATGTCGCCATGGTCTGGTGACGTCCCTACTTTCGTGAGTCTCACTCCCAATATACTTATGGCATTTTATGGGAGTAGCGAAGGGGAGGGAGAGAGTGTGTTTGAACGAATCGCAGCAGTATTCCTGGGTTCGTGGAGGAAAATGAGAAAATTACGGGTCCATGTAGTTATCTCAAAATTACTGTKAGATAGAAATGTATATGATAGAACTACCTTGGTGAATTGGTGTTAGATAGACAGGGTTGTGGGTGTAAGATTGAGAGGATAAAGTGAAATACCGGTAKGCAAGTATCGRCGTAGGGAGGGAGAGTTTAGTAAGTTTCGTATTGAGGAGGGGAAAAGATGGCGAACTGTACAGGTTCAATGCACCTGTCGTCCTCAACAGTCGCCTGTAGGTGACGGGGACTCGCCGCTCTGTCGCTTATTAATGAAAAGAGCATAATAGGGAGGAGGGAGCCAAACAAAATTCTTTATCGGGGTAGGGTAGAAATAGGGGCAAGGGGGAAGCGTAGATGTAAGAATCACATACCTGGGGAATATAGACTGGGATTATCAAGGAATTGGTTTGTTGGGTCGGGGTATGGGAAGAGAAAGAACAGAGTGTGGTAACGGGGCGGGTCGATCGTAGGGTTATTCTAAAATGTTGAGTCGCAGCGATTGAGGGTAGTGGTATTCCGTGAAATATGCGTAAAGGCGATGCCTTCGAAATGGTGGCCGGATTCTAGGAAGAGTAGATTTGGAAAGCCCGAGGGTTGTATTCTTTATCTTGGATAAAAGCAAAGTGAAATGGTCTGTTTGGGGTAACTAATAATTCGAAAACCTAAAGCCAGAGGAATCTCGAAATTGCAAGATTTTTGTGAATAGTCATTTGGCGTAGGAGAACTTACTAATTATGGAATGGACCGTGCGTGGAGTGGGATGCGATCCGGTCCGGCTTTGTGCGTCCACGTTAAGGAACCAGGGGAATAGTATTACGCGATTAATATGGAAGAGGGACGGAGCAGGTGGAGAGAAAAGGTTACGATACCTGAAAAGTTCGCACAGACCAAAGAGGCAAAATTCACCCGACTGCTTCGTAAGTTCGTACTACCTTCAAAACAAAGGAGACAAAAATCTTCGACTCATGTGTGCTGCTGTAGCGGAACGCCTTTCATAGGCGCTACGTTGGTAACTTTGGGTGTAACATGGTAAACTGGATGCAAAACGATAAGGGTCGTTGGGAACCGGCCCTCACACATGCCGCCCAACCCAACAGAATGCTAACTGGTCGGGTGAGAGATGAACGGGCATGTTTATGACGGAAGGTTACCTTGGTGAATGCATCAACCGTGTGACAGCGCAGGCCAAAGCGTGAATATCGCAATGACCCAGGAGCGCACGCTGGTTCCCCCCTTTTTCCACCATTATGTTCGTTTTTGCAGCCTGTCTAATTACATTTGTTTCACTATTTGACTTACCTTTTATTAAGATTTTTATTTTTTTAACACTGACAAGGCACAACTAGGGGTAATAGTGAAAGCATATACCCCTAGTTATCCTTGCATGTGACTCCAATCTATTAAGCGTCACCTGCTAGAAACCGGGTCAAGCGTCCCATGATAAAATTCAATATCGAAAGCGAATAGAGAAAGAGTCAGAGTTGCCTCTTCAGTCCCCTGAGAACCGTTCAATATGTCTCTCAACACTAGCTACCTCAGCCTTTCCTTAATATTTCTTGAATATGTCAGTTYTATCCCAAAGCAAACCATTGCATCTCTGCAAGAGCAAGCTTGGAAGGAGGRAATGGATCTGCGAAGAAAATTGGATCCCTGAGGRTAGTTCCTGGCCGAAGTATGAAYCAGTTTGAAGTTGAGTTCAAAGTCTCTTCTTAGGRGTTCCTCCGTCCCATCCTCTCCTRGCCATGACACCTGCCCCAAACTGCTCCCCCTAATTCCCCCCAGCCAGTCCAACACAAATTTTCGAATTACCTGTTAAATATCGTTTTTGTTGGAAATTGTGTAATTTGGTTTTCACAACCGACCGTTAGGCACTGATTTTAGTTTGCACAAATTGGATAATATATTCCACTATTTTTGGTCTTTCTAATCTTACATCCTCTCTTTCAAAATATATTTTATATTATAGTGTCCATATAACTGTTGTCGGGGCAAATACCCTTGTGAGGGTATTTGCTGGGGATTTTCAACGTCGGACGTTGTCCGACTTTTGCGTTGAATTGAATGACTTGATGAGATTAGCGTTTG